ACGCTTGCTGTCAAAGTACTGCTACGTGAATTATTGGTGATGCCATTCTCTTACCAGTTTGAGAGGAACCTTGATGACGTTGTATGGAGACTTAATTTGCATGCACGGTACTACAGTCCGAAATATAGATAGATTATTCAGATTGGGAATTATATTGACAGGCCATTGAGCGTGATGAGGGTGTTGACTGATGACTACTGGGAATGATCATAGTAGTGTTTGGAATATTACTGTAGTATACTCCTTTCGTTTCTAAATTATAAAGTCGCTTTGACTTTTTTTACATCTATTTTGCTATGCATCTAGATGTAATAATATGACTATATACATAGCAAAATGTATGAACCAAAAAAAGTCAAAGCGACTTATAATTAGGAACGGAGAGAATATCTTGCATGTTCTCTAAATTGGGAGGTAGTTAAGTTAAAATTATAGATTATTATTCAGCACATTTCTCCCCTTTTCTAAATAAAGGCATAGTGTTGAAATAAGATTGTGTTTTGCTTGAAATGAAAAGAAATCATGTCTTATTTTCATTGTAGGTGGGGATAGGGGCATTCAGAGATCTAGAAGGAAACTATCCGGATTTTAGCAAAATCAGCTAGTTTCTTTCAAAATTTAAAATCTATTTTTTTTTCAAGGATCTGGGTTGGATCATATGGAAATTCCTCAGGAATCTGAGTTGGATCAGATATTATTTACCTCTGTTTCGAGCCCTGGTTTCATCATATCGGAATCCAATGATTAACCCATGTCAGTGGCCTTCATGCTTATCCCATCAGTCACAGTGATTCTATGGCTAGATGAAGACAAGAAGTAACAATGGAGATTGCACTGCCTTCTTATCCGTTGACACGTTCCATTGATTCAGTAGAGGCATCATTCTTAGATAGACCCTAAATCCTACGCAAGTTTAACTAAGTTCACAGTGGTTGGCTCAGTTACGTACAGTACAGGTCGTGTCCTAGAAATCTTGGTCGACCACACTACATGACTCACCAGTCACTACCCTAGTTCTAGCGCAAGCTGATCTCTATGCACTGGTCGTCAAGCTATGGTGAATTGCAGAGTACTAACTGTTCATCGTGGCTCGTGCATTCCTCACCTGTCCTAAATCCTAGTGTATTTGTCAATATGCTAGAATGATTTTGTGAAGAAATAATTGCGTTGAATACTATAACCAAGGACAATATATTCAGTGAAAGTGTTTAGGAAAAGTGTTGCTGAGACACCAATCCATGTTTCAGAAAGCAGGATGCATGACACAGAAGTTGAGAAATACTACACCTTTTCTGATGTTCTGTTCTGCTTATGCAGCATAGCAGAGGAATACTAGCATACTAGGGTGGACAAGGAAAAAAAAAGCAATCTCCAAAGTACACCGAAACAAAAGCTTGTGTCAGCATCAAGGTCAAACCATATCCGTACTTTTTAAAGGCCTCTCGCCAGCTCCTATAAATCCTGGGCGCAGCGCATACCACCACCCCACGACCAAACCAGCAGCGCAGCACCAGCACACCTGCCTGCTCATACACACACAGGTTGGGAGAGAGAGACTACCAGAGAAGAGAAAGAAAGAGGGAGATGGGGAGAGCACCCTGCTGCGACAAGGCGACGGTGAAGAAGGGGCCATGGTCACCGGAGGAGGATGCAACGCTCAAGAACTACATCGAGGAGCATGGCACTGGGGGCAACTGGATTGCGCTGCCACACAAGATAGGTACGTGGTGAAGATGAACTGATTAACTCTTGCTCATCCATCGAGCCATGCATTGCCAGACATGTTTTAGCTCGATTCCAGTTGTTCAGCTGTGTTTATGTGTGTGTGACCGATGATTAACTGATTCATGAAACTGCATGCAGGGCTGAAGAGGTGTGGGAAGAGCTGCAGGCTGAGGTGGCTCAATTACCTGAGGCCCAACATAAAGCATGGCGATTTCACCCCAGAGGAGGACAGCATCATCTGCAGCCTCTACATTAGCATAGGGAGCAGGTACACATACAGACCCAGTCAACAACCACTCCCGGCCTTTTCTTTACAACTAGCTAGACTGTATGTATGTACTCCATGCATGCTGGAACTGAAGTGTAGTGCTAAGCATGTGTGTTAACATATCATGGGCAGGTGGTCCATCATTGCCGCACAGCTGCCGGGGAGGACTGACAACGATGTGAAGAACTACTGGAACACCAAGCTGAAGAAGAGGCTCCTGGGGCGGCGCAAGGACCACCTCCGCCAGAGCGCGGCTGTCGTGACCGAGGCAGCGTCCACCGGCGAGAACATGAACGACGGTGAACCTGCGGCGCTGAGTGCGTCGGCCATGGAAAGGATCCAGCTCTGCATGCAGCTGCAGAACCCGCTGCTGGGCGCCCACCACAACCCCCTGATGTGGCCCGGCTGCAGCAGCAGGGCTAGTACCCAAAGCAACAACAGCTTCAACAGCAACAGCAGCTGCGTGACAATAGCCGAACAAGGGCAGTCGTCCAGCTCGCTGAACGAGCACCTGATGATGAATGCGCAGCTGGAGGGTGCTGCTGCCATAGACAACAGCCTCGCCTCGCCGTCGAGCGCGGAGAACTCCAACATGATCAGCATGGAGGCCGAGCTTGAAGAACTGCTCTACGGTGAGAACAAGGCCGCCGGCATGGTCGACGGCGGCGGTGCGCAGCAGGTGGATGTGGACTGGTGGAGCTATGACCAGGCAGCTGGAAAGTCACCTGTGGGTTGCTGGGACTTCACCCCTGAAACCAACACGGTGTTCCTGGACTACGCATCGGTTTATGACATCTAGTGATCAAATTTGACTGAGCTGTGAAGAACGAAGCTGTAAATTAAGTTAGAGAGGTGACATATAGGGATTTGTCTAGAGTTGGCTCTGGATTTGTGACATCTACGAGTACTACATAAACTGGATTAAGCATCTTGTAAGAAACTCCTAGTAAGATGTAAGGGATAAATTAAATAAATAAATGTACTTAAAAATGCCTGCCAGGCTCTAAAGAAATGCTATTAGCTTGGCATGTTTCAGACAAAGAACAGATAAGGAACCTATCATGTTGATAGAAGTAGTGAAGTTAGCAAAGTAGTTTAGGTTGCTTTTATTGGGGAGAACAGAGAACAAGAACTGCTGGTTCCTACTGGAACCACATAGTCAATTTCATAGCCTCTCAAAAGACCCAAACAATAGCTTTTTTGTCTCTGTCCAAATTTGTACTGTTTACGCATTAACTTACATATTTATGCAATTTGTGTCCAAATCAAAGTTTGACTGTGCGTATTATGCTCTAGTAGACTAGTACCATATCATTGGCATGTAGGAATAAGGAGGAGGTACGTTGAAAAACGGCTACCAGGCCTGAAGTACGTACGTTGAAAAAAAGAATGGAAACACCGTTCTCGAATACTCAATGCATTCAACATGACGGCACGAACCGCGTGTGTCGGACGGTTGTGCGGGCGTCACTGTGTCGGCATGCTGACCAGGAATCTTCATGTGTGAGTGTGAGTCCAGTCCATCTATGACCCACCCATGAGATGGGATCATACAATTCTTACCTATCAGCCCAAAAAGGAAAGGGTCAACCTATATGTCATGTGTGCATGTGACGGTGTGAATCAGTTTCACCCTCATGTGGCTGCACTAGTTTTCTCTGTCCTAAAATCAGTGCTTCATCGGTACATTTGGCAATGTCTACCTCTTAATCGGTTATTATAGAGTTCTGGATTGCACACGATTAACAAACTGGCAAATTTGTTTAGGTTGCAATAGCTTTAACACAACACAAGATAACAGATGTACAATTCTGAGTTACCTTTTTTTCCTATTTCAGAAGGTTACAATTCAACAAAAACAAAGTTATTTTGTAAAGTTAATTATATTATATGTGTATGAGAGACTCTCTCTCTCTCTCCATCCCAAAAGAATGCAATTTTAGAATCTCAAACAGAATATCATTTAGGTTTGTCCTAAGCTAAACCATCATCGTAAATTAGACCAAAATTATTAGAAAATATTAATATTTATAATATCAAAATAGTACCATTAAAGTTTTCATAAATATATTTCCATAATATACTTAATTATATCATAAATATCAATATCAACACTTTCTTATGAACTTGTCAAACTCACAATAGTTAACTTTTGACAAAAGTATAATGATATTCTTTAAGAAACAAATGGAACACCCAGTAACTTTCAGAAGATATGAAGGTATTATATGGTTCAGACATAAAATCAACACAACACAACAACCTGATGAAACAAAAATAGATCAGAGTGCAAATCAGGCCGACAAAACAAAAGTCAAGCCCATAGGCCCATCAAAAAAAACATGAGAACAAACAGGGCGGAGGGGGCGAGGGGAAGGGGGTGGCAAAATCCAAGAATCAGGCCTATGAAGCAAACGAGCACAAATCCTAGTATACATATCTGATAGCCACAATGAGCACAAATCCTAGTGTACATACATATCTGATAGCCTCAATTCCTCAAATTAAACTGAAATTGATGAAATACATGTTACGATAGTTCAGCTATCCTAATCTTCATTTTCCTTGTTATATTAATACATTTATACACACACACCACAGATTCTCAACTTCTGAATGAAGACTACAGATAGCTATCGCTGGTGATAGAAAAATTGAAGCTGGGCAGGATTTGCAGTGCAAATCAGTTCATGATTCAGTCAGGTATCTAGTGCTGTCACAACTGAACACCATCGCTATTTGCTATTGCTTTACCATCTATGGCACACCCGCAGCATTAATCAAAGTCCAAATCAGTAGTGTTGTTATGCACAAGTAGGCAAGTAGCCTGAACTGAGCAGAGGTAGCTCAGTGATATTATCCTACCAAAGAATCATGCAGGTAAATTTTACTGCCAAACAATACTAAATATGTATGTGCCACGCTTGATAAAAATGTAGCAGAGCATCATCACAACTGAATCGGTCAAATGACTTTGTGCAAGCAAAATCAGTGATGTTCCTTGTTCTCACGTCACATGAACAAGGATTTGTACATGAACATTGGCCATGCAAAATAATGCTGCATTCTCACATGGATCCAGACTTTTATTACCTGCATAGCACAGGAACGTTGAATTTTGACAGGAGCTACTGATTATTAGTACATTTTCTCATCACTTGACGCAGCACAAGCTCATGCACTAGCAGAAATGTCAGTTACCAACAAGCAGAAGTTTGAGCAATGCCATCCTTATGTAGAGGCCATTTTTAGCCTGCCTAAAATATGCAGCTCTTGGATCACTATCGACTTCTACCGTGACCTGCAAAAGAATTGATCTCATTTAGATTTGTTGGTTTGCATTGGACTGCACTGACAAATGTAGCAACAAACATCAAAGAAAAAATGCAAAGAAGAGTGTGTCAGCTCCATGTCAAAGAATTTATAATCGAGATAGCTGAATACACAGTAACTAACATAGTTATTTCATCAGTTATATGGTAAATATAAGTAGTTCTCCCCGATGTTAAATGGTTTTTGTATAGCACTTCTGTGAAAAAACAAATATGCACAATATTGAAAAAACAAATAGCACTTTTGTATAGCACTTCTGTGAAAAAGTTCCAACCATCAACTTCTCTAAATCTCAATGTGGTTTCCAGCCATCTTCCAGATAGACTCATACCAACTATTGACTATTCTAAAGATCCATAACCTGACATCTGTTGGAACCAGCTGTGGAGCAATCTTGTGGCTAAGTAACTCCCGAGTTTACAGGAGGCTTTGACATTGGAACAGCACATGCATACTTATGAAAAACTGGTACATAATATCTACTTACACCAAACTTTTTAGTTTGATACAGTAATTACAACCTAGTCAAAACAGAAAATTTTAACACTTCCATCCACATGTCCACTAAAGACCAGTTTTTGTAGCAGTAATAGCACTGTTATGTGCTATGCTGGATTTATTGGTAAAGTTGCTGTCGAAAGCATTTGTCAAAAATTTAGCAACTTGTTCAAAAAATTACAGTTTTAACTAGTTAGCAACTACAGGAGCTTTGTAAATGAACTCCCAATTTGAGGTTTTTTTTTTTTGGCAAAAAGGACAAGTAAAACAACTCCTTAAAAATAAGAAGTTGCAAAAAAATTCCCCTCCAACTCCTAACTTTCTGCGCTGGATAGGAAGCACGTATCTCCCACCAACCCCTCCTGACGCCCTTTTTTTTTTTGCTTCTACCACATTTTTCTCTATTTTCGTGCGAGTCTGGAGTTCCCAACCTCTGCAGTCGCCGCCCCTTGAAGGTACGCAGCCCTAGCCAACTCTAGCCACCACTGTTGGGCCACGGGATCACCGGCTGACGACAGTGAACTAGTCTCCAGACCACTAGTCTCTAGACCACTAGTCTCCCAGACCACTAGTCTCCCAGACCAGACCACTAGTCTCCAGACCACTAGTCTCCCGCACCACCGTGCATCGGCCGTGTCCCATTCCCACACACTATGGATCGAGCTAGAAGAAGGGAGAACAGCAGCAAGCACGCACAATACAAGACAACAACGTTGGCCGAGGCCTTGGTCGTGGGATGGCAAATCTGAGCTCTCTTTCTTGAGTTGTCTTGGTGTCCTATTTATACAACTCTATCTATCTAACTAAAGTCAATGCATTTGTCTTTATAAAGAAACTAGATAAGCATACTGTGGCTGACTCTGCGGCCTCCTCTGCATGGCATACTGTGGCTGACTCTGCGCCGCCTCTACATGTGCCTCTGATCTTTGCAGGTGAGCCGCAGCAGGCGCGCTGCACTGCAGCTGCCTCTGATATACAAATAGGGGCAAAGTCGGCGCCGCCTTCCTCGATCATGTTTTCACACAAGGTGGCGATGAGATTAGCTAACAATCTTCCCTAATCCTCTCGCTAACCCTTGCACCCCCTCTATGCCGATCATCTCCTTGACTCAAGTCGAGTCGAAGTCGTCCGAAGGCTTGGTGAGGACGTCCGCGAAGTTGCCGACCGATTTAACAAACTCGATGACGATCGCCCTCCATCAACACATCCACGAGGAAGTGGAAGTTCACGTCGATGTGTTTACTCGGTCGTGCGAACCGGATTCTTCGCGAGGGCGATGGCGGGCGGTCGTCCACCATCGATCTTTGGTGGGTGAGCTTCCACGCCGGTTAGCTTCGCCCGGCCTGACCGCTGTAGCCACACAACTTGGCACGCCATTGGTGGGCTGCCGCTCACGTACTACGCCTCGCACGTAGATAGCGCCACCACCTTCTCGCTTTCGATGACACCATGAAATTGGAGCCGACCGAGGAAGACGAAATGCGCCGAGAGGTGCTCCGTCGTCCGTCGATGTCCCCGCCATGTCTCGCATCGGCCCGAACACCGTGAGCTGCACCCTACTTTCCCGGTCTTTGGGAAGATGATTCCATGATTCACCGTCCCTTGACGTAGCGTAGTAGCCGCTTCACCGCATGACCCGATGATCCTCTCTCGAGATCCTCCATGAAGCGGCCGACGTAGCACACGGCGAAACAAATATCCGCCTTTGTGTGGACTAGGTAGCGCAGATCACGACGATGCTCGCTTAGAGTGTTGCATCTACTTTCGCCATGTGTCGCCCTTCGCCGTTTTTACCCGCTCCTCCATCGGAGTCACGCGTGGCTTGCACTCCACCATGCCGCCTCTCTCCAACAACTTGGAGGCATACGCGCTTTGCCCGAGCGTGAGTTCCTCCTTCCCTGCTCACCTCGATGCCGAGGTAGTAGGAGAGAGCGCCGAGATCGCTCATTCGAAACGAGCCGCCATCTCTCGCTTTGAAGTCGTTGATATCCTCCGTGCCGCGCGCCGTGATTTATTAAGTCATCCACATACACGCCGACCACGAGTTCTTCCTTCCCCGTCGTCGCGTGTAGAGCGCGTGCTCGATTCGCACCTCTCTGAACCCAAGCTCGCCCGGTGGTGTCAAGCTTGGCGTTCCATGCTCGAGGGGCTTGCCGCGACCCATAGAGCGCTTTGCGCGATCGAGCACCTGTGCTCCTCTCCCTTGACAAATAACCACGGAGGTTGCCTCGACGAAGACTGCTTCCCACTCCACCGTTGAGGAAGGCCGATTTAACGTCCAAGTGATGGACGCGCCAATCCTTTGCCGCCGCCAAAGCAAGTAGCAAACGGACCGACTCCATCGCGCGCTCTTGGTGCAAAACCTCCTCGAAGTCGATGCCCTCGCTACCGACAAAGCCTCGGGCGACGAGGCGTGCCTTTTGTACTTGACAATGGCGCCGAAGCTCGTCTCTTTTGACTTTGTACACCCACTTCAGTCGATCGGACGGCATCCTCGGGGTGGATCGACGAGTCGCCAAGTCTCGCTTTCTCGATCGCCTTCATCTCCTCCAAAGATTGCCCGTCGCCGGGCTTCCATCGCGCTCGGCTAAGCGCGAACGTGGGTGGTTCCTTCCAGACCGACGAGTAGAAGCTCTGCGTCGTTGAGCGACCTACCCGCCAGACTGAGGGGCTCGTGTCGCCCGACGATGTCGTCCACTGCGGAAACTCAACTCCTCACCTTCGTGGTAGGCGTCCACGAACTCGGTGATGTCACTTGGAGGTGAGGCGAACTCGATCGGGGTGATGAAGTTCCTTCTTCCGCCGGAGTGCCCTCACGATAGCACCCGGCGTGCTCAAGATCGCTTCGGGATCGGCTCGTCATAACTCCTGCGGTGTTCGCCACACCGTAGGAGTGTCGACCTCGATCTTGGAGTGGTCGGAACCACAAGAAGACGTCTTGGCTCCGCCACGGGAGTGCTTTCGGCACCCGTCCCGAAGTGGTCGCCACCACTGCAGAACCTCCCCGGCTCCACTCTGGCGTGCTCGGCATCCCTCGTGTGCTCGACACTCCTCCCGGTGCTCGGCATCCCTCTGAAGTGCTCGGCCTTTGCCCCTGTGCATGCTTCGACTCTCTGGCCGGAGTGCTCGGCGCTCCTCCCGGAGTCGTGCTTTGTGCTCATGGCGTCTCCACCGCCGTGGATGACCAAGTGCTCGACGACGAAGGTGTTGGTGAAGCCTCCGCTTCCCCGAGCTCGGGCCCGTGCAGGTCCCAAAGCGCCTCCTCGTTGAACACAACGTCGCGACGAGATCCACCTTGTCTCCGCGTGGGTCATAGAGCCAGTGCGCCTTGGTACCCTCCAGCGTAGCCAGGGAACACCGGGTGTGCTCCTCGCCCTCCGGCTTAGTGAGGTTCGCCCGTCTTCTCCGACGTGGCCGATGCAACCGAATGTCCGGAGGAATGACACGTTCGGCTTGCTCCGTACCAAGCTTCAACGACGTCTTGCCCGTTAGGGCTTTGGTTGGAGCGCGGTTGAGGATGAACACCGCCGTGGTCTCCGCCTCTCCCAGAACTTTGCCGCATCCTTTGGCCTTCATCATGGATCGGGCCATGCCGACCACTTGTCTGGTTCCGCCGCTCCACCACGCCATTCTGTTGTGGCGAGTACGGCCGCGACGTGATGTTGCCCCACACCTTGATCCGCGCGATGACGTAGCAAACTCCACCGAAGTGAATTCGCCACCCGATCGATCCTCTCGACACGGAGCTTCTTGCCGCTCTCGGCCTCCGCTGCGTCTTGAACTTCTTGATCGCCACCGCCGCTTCGTCCTTGCTTCGTCGGGAGTTGCGACCACATGTAGCGATCGCAATCGTCCCACAGTAGGAGGAAGTACCGCCACCACCGCATGTAGCGGCGTGATCGGCCCGCAGAGGTCGCCGTGAACTAGCTCAAGAGCTTCCTTCGCGCGATACTTGGCCGCCTTTGGGAAAGGTAGCCTCTCCGCTTTCCGGCCAGTAAATATCACACGGCTTCGCCTCCGTGTTTGATGTGGGGTAGCCCTCGACCATCTTCCCCAACCAACCAAGCGCGTCGGTTTGAGATGTCCGAACCGGGCATGCCACATCCACGGTTCCTCGAGTGCCTTGCCGCCAGAACAAACCGGTTGCTCTACCTTCGGTCGAAAGGTACAACCGTTCGAGGACCTCTTCACCTTGGCGAAAAGTCGCCGCCCCCGATCTCGATCCTCGAACGCCGTCCTTGAGCAGATGAAGATGATGGTGCCGCGCCCTTGGATAGCCACCCTTGAGCCGTCACCAAACTTCACCGTCACGGTAACATCACCGTCGAAGCTCGGAGAAGGAGTCCTTGGAGCCCGTCATGTGGTTACCGGCACCGAGTCCGTGATACCACCACCGCTCCTAGTCGACGCCCACATGCCCAAGATGGACTTGGGCGCGTGGTTCGTCGAGGTTGACGGTCTTCGTGGCCTTGCTAGATCCTTCCACCGTGCCGCCTCTTCCCTCGCGCATGGCCTCGGCGTCGTGCAATGCACGTAACGTCGCCATAAGGATAGTGGCCTCATCCTCATCATCGGCTTTCGCCGTGTGAGCTCGAGACTTCTTTTCTTCTTGCGATTTGGGCACTCCGCGCTAATGACCCATCTTCCCGCAACAATCGACAAAGCGTTGAGTCGATTTGCTTCTTCTCCGAAGAAGCCCCGCCGCCATGATGTTTGCCGTTGCCACCGTTGACCGGAGGAGGCTACCTTCCGGAGTTTCGCCGAGCGCCCACTCCTCTTCCGTCGGCAGGAGTTTCCGCCGTCCTTCGTTGTTGTCGCTTTGCTCCAGCGCCGTCCACCGCCCGCAGACGGCTGTCACATCCTCAATGGTGAGGGTGGACAAGTCCAAAGATCGTCTCTATGGAGAGAGTGATCTGGATGTACTTTGCCGCAGACGGAGTGGAGGAATTTGGAGACCGCCTCCTCTTCGCCGATGGTGACGCCGTGGCTCTTCAGCTTGCTGATGAGCGTCTGCAGACGGAGGGAAAAGTCCTCCACTGTTTCACCATCCTTGAACTTGAGGTTTGCATACTCCTGCTTCAGAAGCTGGGCCGTTACCTTCTTTGCGCGGTCGGACCCGACGCCAAGCATCGCCCGCAATGGCCTCCCACGCCTCCTTAGTTGAGCTCTTTCGTCCCCAACGGTTCCTCAGACTCCACCGGTACAACAAATGAGGATAGCCTCCAACGCCGACATGTCGTCTTCTTCCACGCTCGGTGCCCTTTGTCAACAACATTCCGTAGCCGTCGGGTTCTCGAAGCTTGACCTTCATGGTCACCGACCACTCTCCATAGTTAGTGCGAGTCGGTCATTTCGGCCAAGTGGTGCCGCCGACCTCCCGCTGCCGTGGCGGGACAACTACCTCCGGTGGTGGTCAAGCAAATGACAATGCGCCACCGCCATCGCCCAACTCCAAACGCTTTGTCCTCGCCATCGGTTAGAATGACGACGGCGCTTATGCGGCTTTTTGATACCACTTGTTGGGCCACAGGATCACCGGTGACGACGATGAACTAGTCTCCGCACCACTAGTCTCGCACCACTAGTCTCCCGCACTGCACCACTAGTCTCCGGATCACTAGTCTCCCGCACCACGCATCTACCGTGTCCGTACTCCACACACTATGAATCGAGCTAGAAGAAGAAGGAGAACAAAGCAAGCACGCACAATACAAGACAACAACGCTGGCCGAGGCCCCGCCTGTGTGATGGCAAATCTGAGCTCTCTTCTTCGAAAGTTGCCTTGGTGCCCTATTTATACAACTCTATCTATCTAACTAAAGTACAGCCGCACATGTTTATAATAAATAACTAGATAAGCATACTGTATGACTCTGCTGCCGGCCTCTGCATGTGCCTACAAGATCTGCTGCAGTGAGCTGCGGCGCACCGCACACTGCAGCTGCTCACAATGATTACAAAGAGGGGCAAAGTCGGCGCCGCCTTCCTCTGTTGTGTTTCACACAAGGTGGCAGTAGATTAGCTAACAACCACCGCCTAGCATCGCCTGGCCACACCTGGCTACACCCGGCCACCACCTGACCGACCATGGCCGTGACATGGGCGGCTGCAGCTACACCCAGCCGGCCACCAGCTGCGTCTGGCCGCCCACAGCCAGACGCTGGCCATGCCCAGCCACGCCAGGCAGTTGCTGGCCACACCAGCCGGTTGAGGCCGGCCCTGGCCTCGGCAGGGGCAGTCCTAACCTGGCTATGGCAGGACAGGGCTGGCTGCAGCTAGCTGGAGGGTGGCTGCTCGTGTCTGGGGGCAGGAGTTTGCAGGATGTTTTTTTTGTTAACACAGTATTTTAATATTATTTATATAAATCATATAAAAAATCATGTATACATGTCAGTCGATGAACAATGCTTTCAGCTTTTTTGTTGCAATTTGTTTTACATGTGAAATAGTTTTGTCAGTCAATGAACAGTAGATTCAAATGTGGATGGCAAGTTGTTCTTTGCTGTGCTCTTGTATTCTTGGTTGATGAACAGTACATTCATAAGTGTAGTGGCATTTTGTTTTTATATTGCAACTTAATTTGCCTTCCCATGAATAGATTTTTGACATTTAGTTCATCAATTGTGTGTCTGGTCATGCCATAACCAGCTCGAGCCGGCGACAGCAACACTGGGCAATGGCCAGGACTGATTATGGCCAGCCAGGGGTAGCTACGGCTGACCAGAGCTGGCCACAGAAGACCAGAGGCTGTGGCTGCTGGTGGCCAGAGGACAGCTGCTACTATCTAGAGGCAGGGGTTTGCCGTTGATTTTTTTATGAACGTTTCATACGGCATGGCCAAGGCTGGCTACAGCCGGCCAGGGCTCGCTATGTAGGATCATAGCCCCTCTCGTGCCCTCATTGTTTATCTCAATATATGACAATATGTTCCGGGACAGAACCACCATGTTTTCTTGCACGTTTTCCTCCGACTATGCAGGGGTAGACCAGGAGAAATGATTAAATAGTATCATCGTCCGAAGACCAATCCAATTCTTTTTTCACAAGTGAATTATGAATGCTCATACTGCCAACAGCTGTAGAACAATGAAAACAAGCCTTGGCCAACCCTAGACTGGCCGAGCCTCCTAGCCAGCACTGGCCAAACCCAGGCCAACACTGGCCTTGCTGCAGGCGGCTGCGGCTGGCTGGGGTTCGCTAGGATGCGGCCAGCGAACGGCTGTGGCCCGTTTTTGCTACCTGAAGGTTGGGAGCAGGTGGCTGGGGGGCAACCACACCAGGCTGAGGGGCGGCAATGCCTGGCTGCAGGAGCATGAAACAGGGGGGTGGCAGCGAACTGATGGGTTGACACAAAGAAAAAGTCATGGACCCTCTTTTTGTTTTTTAGGAAGCTAGTAAAGGAAACTATTGGAGAGATGGATAAATGGATGTTACTACTTATTTTGTTAACTTGCTGAAGTCATTGATTCAGCAAGTGAATTTTACAAAGGTCCTAGAGTTGCACTTATGTCATTTATAGCTTCTCTAAAGTGAATATATAACTTTTTTTAAAACCCAACATAACCCCTTTTGCAGCATGAACAAACATAAAAGGTCTAAAAGTGATGGTGATTCCATCACACAAGATTATCATTATCTAACACATCGACAGAGACCTACTGCTCATACTTAAATATTAGATTAAATTGTGATAAGCTGGCATTTGAAATGCTAGTTTAAACTGTGAAACGCTAAGGAAATACAGCCTAATACCAACTGGACAAAGCCAGCACCCATAGTTAATTCCTAGCGTAAACTACAACAAATTACATCTCACTGGGGACATGGACTACTACGATGGAAAAGAATGGATACTGTGAAAATTACTGAAGTCATAATGACAATTTCTAACCTCATCAAGCCTTGGAAGGGGATGCATGATCACAGCATGCTTTGGCAGCACATCTAAGACCTTCTTATCCACAATGTACTTACCACGAGCAGCTTCATAAAGATCAATCCTCTCACCAAATCTTTCTTTTTGAATACGTGTTTGATAAATAACATCACACTTGGAAGCCACCTCCAACAAATCTGAACTTTCTTCCCATTCAACACCTTTGGAATTTAAGTAGTCCTTGATGTCATCCTTTGGACAGAATGAAAACAAACACAATTCCATTTATTCTGTATGGATAAAATAGAGGATAAATGAAACAAAGTCAAAGATATTTCTTTACAAGACTCAAACCTTCATTTTAACAACATCTGGAGATACAAAGTATATCTTAATGTTCTGGTACTTAGCAATCAAGTAAGCCAGAGAACGAACTGTCCTCCCATTAGCAAGGTCACCAACCAAACCAAGTTTTATCCCATCTAGTGTGCCAATTTCTCTCTTTATTGTGTACACATCCAACAGAGCCTGAAGAAAAGAATGAAATTGCGAATTACAAATGGCACTGCAAAATTTTCAAACCTTAAGATAGATGCAACACAAAAGGTATTTCAGCAAGTTGTTATAGAAATATAGAAATGCACTCCAGTGAGTATGACCTGACTTTGCTTATCATCAAGATGCAGCAGATACTTGGGTATTCCAGATGAACCTTTGAGTAAATGACTACAAACAATTAGCTGTAGCATGTAATGTGTTTGCTGATTTGTGGTAGAAGGAATTCTTGCAGGTGTAGGATATACCATCAGGAAGTTGCCAACACAATGAAGGCCTAGTCAAATTTATAAATAAATGGTACAAAGCATATTACAGTACATGGCCTGTTCTAAGGAGATCTACGAATGGTTTATTTTGCTATGCTCACTTTCATTCTTCCAATGCTACAATCATATAACACAATACTTAATGGACCATCAGACAGGTCCAGAAACACAGACAGAAACCATGTGAAGAAAATACTACAAGAATATCCAAGCTAAGCCCTTGCAGGAGTGTCCATCCTCAAGTCCAAGTGCAGCTTCCTATCGTTTTCAACCTCCCAAAGTACCCAAACTTCAAAATAGCCATCAAACAGGTCATTGTCGCTTGTTGACAACTTTGCAACATCCCAATCAATGGCTAGACCATCATTCACTAAAATGCAGTTTTTAGCTCTTGTGCCAAGATTAGAAAACTCAAAAATCACTGTCTCCGGAGCCAACCTCCAAGGATGACAATTGACACTACTTTTTAAAGTAAGATAGATGGAGGGAGGGTCAGACACTGAACATTTACCTGGGTTGGATGTTGCCCTGGCCCATCACCTGCATTAATAACAGGAATATTCGCAGTATCCGCTGCTCTCCTTGCGGCTCCACTTTCAAAATGTCTCAGAACAATAATATCAGAATAACCCTCAACGGTTCTTATGGTATCTGCGTCATGGATAGACATGGTTAGTAACCTAGAATTCTCTCTCAAGAGACAGAAATTGGTAAAATTCTGTCCGAATTGTTACTTAAGAACAAATTTAGTTCTGCAACGGAGGAGGTAATCCATTACATCATTTTCCTTTTGTGTCAATTAAATCCAGTTTTATCTTTTGACTAATTCAGAATTGAAAATTTCAGAGAAATGGAAATTTGGCAATTGTTAACTAGCGGCAAGCAATGGTTCCCAAAACAGAAATAGAAAACCGATATGTTGGTAGAAAGCTTGGCATGCCCATTTCCTCACCTACATGCATGTGCTCAGGCACCAACCGTTCTCAACAGCACCCGTAATATAGTGGAGACACCAACCTTTCCACTTCAACAACTCCCTCACCGTCACTAATACAAAATATAACGTATTCAACAAGGCAGCTGAAGCTCAGTAGCTCACCTTCGAGTGTCTCCCCCTTGGCGGCGGAAGAGAACTCGCGCGCGTTCTCAGTGGTGAGCACCTCCCCGCCGAGCCTCCGCATAGCGGCCTCGAAGGAGAGGCGCGTGCGCGTGGAGGGCTCGTAGAAGAGCGTGGCCATGAGGTACCCCTCGAGGACGCGGCTGGGGGCGCCGTGGGAGCCCCGCTCCACGGCCTCCATCTCCCGCGCCACCTCGAAGATCTCGTTCAGCGCGTCCCGGTCGAACTGCTGCGCCTCGATCACGTCGCCCAGGCGCGTGGTGACCTGGTGCTGCTGCGGCGCGGCGGAGGTTCCGGCGGCGACGGAGGTGGCAGCGCCGCCGCGCAGGCGAGGGGCGGAGGAGGGCGTGAGGGACAGACGGGGGCTGCGGCGGGAGGTGGAAGGGAGAGAGAGGTGCGGCAGCGGGAGGGCGGCGCGAGCGGCGACGGCCATGGGAGGGGTGAAGCGAGGCGGCGGGAGGGTTTAGGGTTCAGCCGTTTTTCGGAGGAGCAGGGAGCGGCACTGCGGCAGGCGGCGGCGGGACCGCGGGAGCTCGCTAGATTTTAGAATCTGTCTGCTTTTTTTATTTTTTGTTGGGCGCTGTGACTCGTGAGGACATGTATCCGCGGATTCTCGGTGGGAAAAAAGAGAGATAATGCTGCTAAAGGCTATTCTTTTTTACTGTTTTGATGTCCGTCCGGATGGACCCTGCCCGCGTCGTCTGATCGCTCTATGCTCCCCTGCTCGCGAGATGTGGCTAGATCTGTGCCGTTCACGAGCTCCACACTAACCACCTCCGTGTCATTCTATGACATCGAGCTTCACGTCGGCGTCGAAGTCCGCGTTGATGAGCCTCTATTTTCATCTAGCAAGTAGATGTTGCAATTTAAATCGCATGTTGCAAGTCCATGTTTTAAGTATTTTTAGATGTTTCATAGTTATATTGCAATTGTTCCATACAGTTGTTGTAAAAGTATATCTGGATGTTGTATTTGTTGTAATGGTTGTACACGTATGTTGTAAGATTTTGTTTTCAATGTTTCATCTATTTTTTCATACGTATGTTGTAAGTGTGTTTGTTTGGATGTTGCATATGTTGCACACATATATTGCAATTGTTTTATCTAGATGTTGCGTATGGTTTACAACGGTTTTCAGGTGTTTTTGCAAATGTTTTAGATACATGTTTCAAGTGTTCCATTTATCTTCAGACGTATGTTGCAAGTGTTATATAATATTTTAAAAGTAGATCATGTGTTGCATCTCTCTTCTTGTCTTCTATTGCCTCGCCTCGGTGTCTCATCCTCGCCTTCTGCTGCATTGCATCCTTCTTCGACTACGGAGGGGGTGCGGCGAGGACCGATGGAGGGGGCATGCTGGGGGATGGCGGCACGAACACGAGCGCGTGCTCTCCCCTTCTGTTACGATGGTAAGAATAGGATTCCGTTGATTCCAATTGATGGGCAAGGATACCACTTCTATTGTCGGCCCAAGCCCATGTATTGAGTCACGGTTGGATGGTGGGAGCTGCTCCGGACGCACTGTTGGGACCGAACGTTCGAGCGCTAGTCATCCTGTTTGATTATCGCTGTCATAGAATTTGAACTAGCACAAAGAATAAAAAAACATGTTACGATGATTATAATTGAATTGATCGTGTAAGGAAAATGGACCCTAGGCCTATTTAATTTGGATTTTGATGTTTGATGACCAGCATAATCGAATTGGACTAATAAATTTATAAGAGATTATTTTGTAGTTTAATAGGGTGCAAAACGTGACTTAGACGAAGGCGACATGATGATCTCACGATCAACACCATAAGTAAGACCCTAGAAGCACAAGAGAAGACCCAAGATATCAAGCAAAGTTCAAGCACGAAGATAGGAACCAAGCCGGACACAAGATCGTGAAGAAACGAGCTTCACAGAGGTGACCGAACGCGGTCCTTATAGCGACCGGACGCGTCCGATCAAGATGCTCGGCAACGGCAGGCGTCAACAGCAGCGACCGGACATTGATGATCCAAGTGACCGGGCGCGACGATGACACTGTTCACTGTCGCGACAATAGCTCAGCACTGACCGGACGCTGGAGGGTGATCGACCGGACGTAAGAACTGCAGCGTCCGATCGAGTCCAGAGAGGTTCTAGAGTGGCGCCAGCACGATCGGACACGTCCGATCGACAGTGACCGGACTTAGCGCCGAGTCCGCTCAACGCGCTAGCTTCAATGGTCGAGACGACTGGACGCGTCCGGTCAGGACGACATCAGTATCCGGTCAGTAGCAGAAAGGTGGGTTTCGTCCCCAACGGCTATTTTCTCAGTGGGGCTTATAAATAGACCCTCCAACTGTCCATTTGAAGTAATTAGAGCTAAAGAAACATACCAAGGGTGTTAATACATCATTTTAGTGATCTCCACTTGTATAGTGCTTAGTGATTCATTAGGTGATTAGCGTAGGTGCTTTACGAAGTGCTTAGGTTGATTAGACCACCGCTTATGCGCTTGCTCTAGGTTTAGACCTAATGTTTAGTGAGGTTTGCATACCTCTTACCACTCGGTGCTTGCGCACATCATTGTTGTACATCAGAGGGGCTTATAGTCTTGCGAGATCACATCAACTGTGTTTGTGGTGTGGCCGCCACCGTGTACCGAAAGGAATAAGACCCGTGGTGATTCGGTCGGAAGCTTGATAGTGAAGATGGCGAGGAGCGGTCCGGGAGAGGCTTATCGGAAGGTATACCGGAGACCCACTTGCGTGTAGAGAAGGCCCAGGGCTACCACGGAGCTACCCGACCGGGAGTTTGGCCCTCGCGAGAGATTCCTTGCGATGGGCTTCAACGAGGACTAGGGAGAAGCTTATGCGCTTCTCGTTACCTCGGTAAAAATACCGGAGTCGTCGATAGGAGTTTGCATATCTCTACATTACTCTTTAGCTTCCGCATTTATATTGTTTACATAACTCCTTTTGCGGTAAAGATAGCAACACACTACCAAAATCATAGTTGCACATTTAGATAGTTTATCTTTTGCATAGGTTTTGCTAAGAATAGAAAATGAGGTCATAGTTTAGAGTTAGACTTTTAAGTTGTCTAATTCAACCCCCCTCTTAGGCGTCACGGTCCCTTACAATTGCTATCGGAGCCGGTTGGCTTAATTTGGACCTTTGGCTTCACCGTCGTTGAGCCGACGCTATTTAGAGTGGTTGGGATAGATACCTCTAGGCCTCCGCACTTTGCAAAGTTCAGCTAGACGGCGATTATGCGCGCCTAGTCGCTGGGTGAAGCCCGTCGCCGAGACTAGGGGCATAGTCGCGCATCGCGGAGCTAGGCGACGCGAAGGTGCACTAGGCGGGCGCAGACGTGGCGCGTAGGCGCGCGAGCTCGAGGGCGGCTAGTTTTGGCGCACCAAATCGGAGCACGGGAGGAATTCCCGTGCAGCCAGGCCCGCGCATGGCCACGAGACCCAGCCACGGGAGGATTAGAAGGGAGCGCGGCGCCATTCGCTCGTCCCCGCCTCTGCTCCTCCTCCCACCGGTCCTCCTCCTCTGCTCCTCCCGTCGGTCCTCCTCCTCCTCTGCTCCTCCCCTGCTCATCCAAGCTCGTCCTCGACTCGCGCGCTGCCGGTCCTGCTCGTCGTCGACTCGCCGCCACCATCCTGCTCGTCCTCGACTGGAACCCCTCCTCGCCGGCCACCCTAAGTCCCCAAGGTGAGCTCCCTTCCCTCCCATGCCGGTAGCTCCTCTCCTGCTCATCTCCCCTGTATTTGAATTCATTGGTGAACTCTTGAATTTGAATGTAGGATGTCGACAGAACAAGGTATTTCTGCACCAGATGCAACAAGAACTGAGGCAACTAATCTCCTGAAAAGGAACTCGGATGATGTTGGATGGGAATATGGTGTTCTTGTTGATGCTAGCAACAAGGACAAGGTGAAGTGCAAGCTCTATGACAAGGAGATGAGAGGAGGGATTCATAGGTTGAAGGAGCATTTGGCTCATAAAGGAAAGAATGTAAAGAAATGCACAGCAAGAACACCACAGGCTATGGAGGCTAAAGAGAAGTGCAAGAAGGCACTAGCTGATGCAAAAAGGAAGGAGGAGAAGACTGTTCGTGAGCTAGAAATTAGAGAGGAAGTTCATGTATCTAGGGTTGGAACAGATTCAGATGAAGTCACCTGTGTTGGAAGTTCAGAGCCCCACAAATTAGGACCCATTGACAAATGGACACGTGCTATTGATCCTAAAGCTACCAAGTCTGATTCTTTGAAGCAATAGCAGTTGAACAAGGAACTTTGGAAAGAAAGAACCAATGAGGAGCATAAGTACATTGCAAGATGGGCCTATACACAAGGTAAATTGCTAGTATACTATGCTATTTTTACATTTCAAAGTTTATTAGATGTTGTTTTCCTGTACTGAACACTAATTATGCTTCTTTCAATGTTGTGTTGGCAGGAATTGCTTTCAATGCATGTGATAATGATGAGTTCAAGCAAATGTGCGAAGCAATTGGACAGTTTGGTCCAGGACTTGTGCCTCCAACTCAGGATGCACTGTGAGGAAAGTTGCTGGAAGAAGAATATGAAAGAACCAAGAGTTTGCTACAGGAGCGTGAAGCCGAGAAGATGAAAAATGGGTGTTCTATTATGACTGATGCTTGGTCAGATAGGAAGAGGAGAAGCATAATGAATCAGTGCACCAATTGTGCTGATGGAACCTCTTTCATCAACTCTAAGGAGATGTCACATGTCTCACATATCAGTGAGGTCATCTTTGATCTTGTGGACAAAGTAATTGAAGAGATTGGTCCAGACAATGTGGTGCAAGTAGTGACTGGCAATGCCTCTAACAACATGGGAGCAAAGAGGCTATTGGAAGAGAAGAGACCACACATATTTTGGACCTCTTGTGCAGCTCACACAATCAACCTTATGCTCCAAGGAATTGGCAACATGACTCGGTTCAAGAAAGTGGTTGACCAAGCAAAGGCATTTATCATATTTGTCTATGGCCACACAAGGACATTGGAGTGCTTGAGATACTTCACAGAGGGGAAAGAGGTAGTGAGGCCAGGAGTGACTAGGTTTGCTTCAAACTTTCTCACTTTGAGTAGCATGCAAGAGAAGAAGGACCAGTCAAGGAAGATGGTGGTTCATAGTAGGTGGGACTCATTAAAGGATGTGAAATCAAAGAAAGGAAAAGAGGCAACAACAACTATATTGAGTCCAAGCTTTTGGAAGGATGTGAAGCTAACATTGACTGTTTTTGAGCCATTGGTCAAAGTCCTCCGTTTGGTTGATGGGGATGTGAGGCCATCCATGGGTTTCCTTTATGGAGAACTACTAAAGGCAAAGAGACAGATCAAAGAGGCCTTTGGAAATGTTGAGGCTCGGTTCAAGGATGTAATAGCTGTTATTGATAAGAAGATGAATGGAATACTTGATTCTCCATTGCATTTGACAGCCTTATTTACTGAATCCTCACTATAGCTATAGTGACCCATCAATCTTTGATCAGCCCAAAATATCAGAAGGGTTTATAGCTTGTGTTGAGAAATTTTATTATCATGATGAGGACATGCAGCATCAGGCTGCCAACATTGAACTAAAGAAGTTTCAGAATAAAGAATGACCCTTTAGCAAGAAGCTTGCTAGGACTTTTGAAAACTTTTATTACAACTCAGGTAGAGGTATTTCAGCATCATGGTGGAGACTGTATGGATATGAAACACCAACTTTACAGAAGATGGCTACAAGGATCCTATCTTTGACATCAAGCTCTTCTAGTTGTGAAAGAAATTGGAGTGGTTTAAAGGGGTTAGTACCTATCTATTATGAACATTTCAGTTTCAGCAGCATTACAATTAAATTGTAGAACTGAGAATGCTTTTTGTAAATTGTAGATACACACTAAGAAGAGGAATAGGCTTACTACAACCCGTCTCAACAAGCTAGTGTATATCCAATTCAACTCCAAGCTGATTAATAAGAGAGAAAAGATCAAGTCAAACAAAATCACTAATGTTCTCTTGTCTAGTGATACAACTGAAGCTCAAGGTTTTCTCCAAGAGGGTGGGGATGATTGTGCATTAGTTGACTTTAGAGATGGGGAGGAAGATGAGATGGAAGGTACAGGGATACCTTAGTCTGTCATTGAAGAGGCAGTGGGAGCAGATGAACAGCTTTAGCTGCGTAGAAGTGCAAGAGTGAGGGTGCTCTATGAAGGAGAAGAATTTGAGTCTGAAGAAGAAGAGTATGACGATGAGGATGTGTACTACAGTGAAGAAGAAATATGATCTGGACCATCTCCATCTAGTAGTGAAGTCTTTTGTGATGCCCTGGTCTTATGAACTGCAGCTGTGTCACTTTGTGTCTGTGTGTTTTCTTTTGTGATTTGTGAGACCTGAACTAAGAACTATGTGCTTGTGCTGTCCTTTATTTATAAATTGTGTTGTGCACTTGTATTACTGTCCTATCCACTTGTATTGTAATCACCAGTTGCTGATATGGTGTGCTCATGGATGGGAGGCTGCTGAAATCATCCAGATAAGTCACAACTTAGTGTTTTCTATTTTTTTTATGAACAACTAGCTGTCTATTGACTAATTTACTAACTATTAGCTGTCAAAATGTGTTGCAGGAGCTAGGAACATGCAAGAGTAAGCCAGCTAGGAATCAGATATGTCTACTGGCCCTCTTTTTATACTTACTGTGACTCATATAGTCATATATAGTAGTTATATACATATATGTAGTTATATACATAATATATATATATATATATAATTTATGGCTATATTGCCAAAACGCCTAGGAAAACGCCTAGGAGCGGCTAAGACTGAGTACTCCCGACTAGGCGCTAGGCAATGGGTCAGCGCCTAGATTCCACCTAGCGCCTAGCTGAACTTTGGCACTTTGACACACTAACTTCCCCTATTACAAAGCTAGAATGGCTTATCACCATGAGACGGTATATTTGGGTGTTTGGAGAGTCACTCGTGACGGAATGAAACCCATTAAGAATCCCGATAAACCCACAAAGAGTGAAGAAAAAGAAATTCATTTTAATGCTAAAGCTAAAAATTGTTTGTTTGAATTTTTTAGCATGGATGTGTTTAACCAAGTGTTCACTTTAAATACGACACATGAAATTTGGTTGAAACTCCAAGAGCTTCATAACGGCACAACTAATGTCCGTAGGCAAAAATATTGTCTAGCTAAACAAAATTATGATTCATTTAAAATAAATGATGATGAGCTTATTCGTGATATGTATTCTCGTTTGAATCTAATTATCAATGAGCTCCATTCAATTGGATTAATGAAGCTAGATGATGCGGACATTGTGAGGAAGATCATCTTCATGCTACCATAAAAAGAAATATGCAAGCATCATCACCATCCTTCACAACATGAAGGACTTGAGCACCATAACCTCGGCCATAGTTATTGGCAAGATAGTGGCATTTGAAATGACACACAAGATGGGTCAAGAAGAAGCTTCTTCATCAAGCAAAGGCAAAGCTCTCGCATGTAGTAAGAAAAAGAAGATGAAGGGCAAGCAAGTTGAGACAAGCTCAAGCTCAAGCTCCTCAAGTGAAGATGAAGAAGAAGATGATGATAATAATGATGATAATGATGATGATTTAAGTGATGATGATCAATCTTTCTCCTCCACCTCCGACCTTGATGAAGAACCAATCAAACTTATCAACAAGGTGGAGAAGATGACCCAAAGGTTCAATGTCAAGGGTGTGTCCATCCAAATTCAAGATTTCATCTTCACCAATCAAAGAAATGAGCAAAGAAAAAAATGATGCTATGGATACGGCGAGTTGGGGCACTCTGTGGAAGTTTATCCAAACAAACTCACACCCAAGACAAAGAAGAAGGCGTGCAACGACAAAGCCCTCACATCAATAAGGTCATGGAATAATTCTTCAAGTGAAGAAGAAGACCATCATAAGAGGCGAGGGCACAAGCACTCATCATCAAGCACCTCAAGCGTGTGCCTTATCGCACAAGGTAACAAAAAAGCCTATCCTTAGTGATAGTGACAATGATAGTGATGATGAGCTACCTTCTTATAATGAAATTATAAGAAGAAAATCTTAACTTTGCTAAAGTTTGCACTAGTCAACAAAAGAAGCTTGAAAAATTAAAAGAAAAACTAAATAGCTCACAACAAGCTTATGCTACTTTGCTTGAACAATATAAAACTTTTGCCAATCTTCATATGGAGCTATCTACTAAAATTGAGCAACTTGAGACTAGTGCAAACACAAATAATTGCACAATCAATGATGAGCAACTTGTAAAAAAATGAAAAATTAAAGAAAAAGTTAGCTAGCTCACAAGATGCTTATAAAAAATTTGCTTGCTAAAATGAAAACTATGTGCAAACATTGTGATGAGCTAACTAATAAAATTGCTAATCTTGAAGCCATTGGTACTACCACCATTGAGGCACCTAAAAAGAAAGGTTCTATTTTTGGCATGCCTAAAAAGGATGCCTCTACTTTTTGTAATGATTTATATTTAAACCCATCCTTGTACAACCAAGTTTATGTTGAGAAAATTATTGTAGAAACATACACATAAGAGGTCACAAAGGAGAATGAGCAACTCAAGCAAGAAGTGGCTCACCTCACTAAGGACTTGACTCAAGTGAAAGGCAAGATAGAGCAAGCCCAACTTCATCAAGATAACATCGTCAAGGGAGTGAAGAAGCTTGATGAAGAACAAATCGTGGTTTGCTATGTATGCCACAAGGAAGGCCACAAGTCATATAAGTACAAGGTGAAGAATGGGGGAGGAGCTAAGAAGAAAGAGAAAAACAAAAAGAAAACAAGCAAGCTCTCTAACACCTACACCAATAAGGTGGATAAAAAGGCATCCAAACCTTATCTCTTGAAGAAGAAGAGAAATGACAATATGGTGGCCATCAAGGTGAACAAGCAAGACAACAATGGGGCAAAATGCATTTAGGTGCCAAAGGGGATCATCTCCAATATGAAGAGCACCAAGAAGGTTTGGATCCCGAAAGGGAAGTGAGAAGTCCGATGGACTTCAGGGAATTTATAGACTTGGTATAGTTTTGGGTGCATTTCATGGGGTGCATCACATTGGATCATGTTAATTGCCAAATGGGTTAGTGAACACTATGGACCCAAATTCCCCTCCCCATATTAGGTAACTATATTTAATATCTTGTAATTTTAATTAGCATCTAGTTTCTTTTCATGCCTAGGTTTGCATTTGAATGTTTAATCTTTTGTCTTGCATACACTAGGTATATCTTATGGTAGGCTTGCTCGGTTTTATTCTTAACCCCTAGAGCAAACCTACATGGTTTAAATTGTTTAGGAGCACGGCACATAGCTTGTTTTACAATTGTTCATCTAATATGTGCCAAAGTCCAAATTATAGATAATTTCTCCCGAATATCACCTTCGAAAATGATTCTCACATTCATGTGATGTCATCTTTCAAGTGGTATTGTTGATTCTAAAATCAATGTGCATATCTCCTACAAGTATTCCATACTTATGTGCATAAATTTAGGAGGAGGTTACTCTACAAGTTGGATGCCTTGAGACTAACACATTTTCAAGCTTATCATATGTGTAGTAGTCTCATTGCAAGAAAAATGGAGTCCCCGGAGTTAAGCAGCATACTTTAAATATCCATCACCTATTGCAAGTGGTATAAATCAAATTGGTTTCCACATGTGGTATTAAACCGATATCATCATGTTGATTTCACTTTGGTATTTATATGCTTTCTCCATGTATTATATAGATTAAACTCCCTTGAGCATTAATTTGCTAATTATGCATAAACTACATTTTCCATCATATGTATGCATATATTTAGGGGAAGCTTAGTCTATGTAATGTGAGAGTCAAATTTTGTGACCTATTTCACTCCACATACAAAAGGATCATAAAGTTTGACCCTACCTTGTGCTACTAATGTCTTTCTTTTCGGTGTTTGATTTCAAAGGGAGAGAATTTGTAGGACTAAAAGCAAGCCCGATCATAATAATTTACAAGTGGTAATGGTCCGAGAAAGGGAGGATAGTGGATTATGGAGTTAGAGAGAGGCTTAAATCCATAATGTCACGTGGGGACATTTGCAAGGGCAAGATAAGTTTCCAAAGATGTTTACGTATGGTATCTTTTGGCATCTTACACCCCTACCCTTTGCATTGCATCCTAGCAAGTAAATAGTTTTTAAATTACAAAAATTTTATTATTTGCTTGTTTTTGGTCGTGTTGTCATCAATCACCAAAAAGGGAGAGATTATAAGAAAAATGGAGCCTAGACCCATTTACTTTGGATTTTGGTGTTTGATGACCAATACAACTAAATTGGACTAATGAATCTGTAAGAAATTATTTTGTAGTTCAATAGGGTGCAAGATGTGACTCGGACGAAGGCGATATGATGATCTCACGATCAGCACCATAAGCAAAACCCTAGAAGCACAAGAGAAGACCCAAGATATTAAGCAAAGTCCAAGCATGAAGATAGAAACCAAGCCGGATACAAGATCGCAACGAAACGAGCTTCACAAAGGTGACCGGATGCGTCCGATCAAGATGCGTTAGCTAAGAACGGCAGGCGAAGAAAGAACGACCGAACGCGGCCGAGGATCCAAGTGACCAGACGCGACGATGACACTGTTCACTATCACAATAATAGCTCAGCACTGATCGGACGTTGAAGGGTGATCGACCGGACGCTGGAACTGCAGCGTCCGATCGAGTCCAAAGAGGTTCTAGAGCGGCGCCCAACGACCAACGCGTCCGATCGATAGTGGGTCTTTGTTGGATCGGACTCATAAACCATCAACATAATGTGCCGAGTCCAATCAATGCGCTTAGCTTCAACGGTTTGGGACGACCAAACGCGTCTGGTCGTCAGACGACAACAATGTCCCACAAGAGCGTAAAGGTGGGTTTCGGTCCCCAATGACTACTTTTCTCGAAGGAGCTTATAAATAGATCCCCCAACCGCCATTTTTGAAGTGAGAGCCCTATCATAAGTTTTGATTTTCACAAAACTCCCCATAAGGCCATATGTAGAGCATCGTTATACCGCCAAAGAAGTTTCTAACCTTAGCGCTTCTTCTTTTTAGTGGGTCTTTGTTGACTGTTACCGTTAATATCAATCATAAACCATCAACATAATGTGCATATATACTTAATTCCATCACCAAACATAGGAATATGGGCTTAATATGAATTTAAACTAATGGTGAATTCCAGGAGCTTTGGTGAATCCTCTGTGAAGAAAGCTCTAGAAGACACCAAGAGAGGAGATGCATTTAATAAGAAAAAGCCAAGGCAATTGACCCCACCGATGGATCAATCGAGAAGACCACCTCAAGGTCCAAGATTTAATCGTATTTGATCCACGAGCAAAACAACTTCGAAGACTCTAGAAGACACCGAGGGCAAACCATCGAAGGAGACCACGAGAAGGATGACATGCGCCACCAGGAGGGGGGTCTCCTCAAGGTTCGCTCACTAGTGACATGGTCAGCATTCCAAAAGTTTCACGGAGTATGACACTTCACGAATCAAAGTTCACACTTCCTCATAGTTCATAGTTTCACGTAAAAGAGAGAAGACCACAAAGAGATGATGATGATCATA